CCACCTATCAAAGGATCACCTGATGGCCCACCTCAATTGATTGTGTTTCTCTGAATGAACCGTTGATATCATCACATCAACGTCGCATTTTACCGTCAACTCACGAAGAATGTAACTCCGAAATGATGGGACCCTGTTTTGGTGGAGCTGACCAATCGGAGGACACTACATTTGCCATGGTGAATCTACAGAATGCATGGATAATTCAGCGTCGATCAGTCGAATAATTTGTTAAACGTATGCTGCACCCGTCAACCAGACGTCACATCCTTCCACGGTTTTGAAGCACTCGTGTAGAGAATGCTGTTGAGAAACAGATACTGTGGCGCATTACATATAGAAAAGCTCTCGGTCACTGAAGGACGTCACCAGTCACCTGTGAAGATTGTCAATACCCAAACACGCCTTGGTGACGGCACACAAAGTGGCGTGAGCAATTGTGGGACTACCAGTACCCACACCTAGCCATCAAGCCAACTCCAGACTGGCTTGTTAGTAAATGATCACATTTGGTAACAACCTTGAACGCGATTCTATGGCGCCCATCTGGGCAGCTTCGAAGGGTGGTATTCCACCTATACTATACTCCGACAGTGCGGGTGGTTTGTGTAAGACAGTCATTATTGGAAACCACACGAGCAGTACAAGCTGCTTGAACCACTACTTCCACCGTTTTCCTGCACTATTACCGTACCCACTCTCCTTTACGTACCTCGCCACAAGTAATAAAATTGCCTAGAACACAACTACCGTTCTTGTTGCTGAACTTCTTCCCCATGTTTTACTGCTAAAGTCGAATCCTAAGTAAGAAGTTCCAACCTTTCTTCCGCTAGGGCACCTATTTCCTCAGAAATAAGCGCATCGACATCTACAATACAGGGCCAGCAACTACCTCCTGATACATCACTGAACGAGTGAAACGACCAGGCACATTAGGGCAACAAAGGTATCCAAATATTATAACGCCTCAGCTCAGTTCTGGATGCGCTCCTTGCAACTTTCGGCAGAAAATTACCTACGTTACACCCAAAACACCGTGTCGTATTTAGAGTCCACAATTTATCAACATGGAAATTCGAAAACCCTCAGCAAGCATCACTAACAACTAGCATTCTGCGGATCACCATCCACGACAAAACGTCGGTGTTCTACACTAACGCTTCGCCGCCGTGCAACTACGATTTACTTGAAAGTTTTGGGCGAGATGGCTCAGTGATTAGAGCACGAATTTACTGACCGGAAGGTCCGTGGTTCGAACCGGGCCTCTACGCCTCGACTTGTGTCTAGGTTTGGGAAACCTGGAAGTACCCCAGCCCTCGTGCTTCCTTCGGATGGTATGGCAGCCAGGCATCGAAAGGGGCGTTACAGCTGAACGATTTAAAACGACTTGAAAGTCTTATTACGAGGGAAAAATGGATTCGGTAGGGACGTAGTGCTAGCTTACCACAGACATCTCGAGGTGCCTACACCTCCAGAAACACATTCAGACTATCTGGAAAAACTGACAGGAAAGCCATTCACATCGATTAGCAACCGTGTCTTGCAGTATCCTCAACCTCAAAATCGGGGGAAACACGCATACCCCATCCTTCAGGTCGAGTGGCATTGAATATATATAAACGTTCCATCGTCTCTTTCACATCCGTCTGAAAGATCAAAGTTTGACCACCTCTCTGCTTACGCCGCTCTTCATCGGGTATGGAAAACAGTAGTCTTCAGCAAATGATGATTCGACATGCGCAATGCACGGCCTAACCAACGCAGCTTCTGGTACCGGACACATTCCCCGATGGAAATCCCGGTTGCACAGCTGAATCTCCGCATTCTCAATGCCTCGTTGCCGATTCGTCGACAACAGCCTATACGAGTTATAGTTCTGAGACAACGTTTGTCAAAGACATCAAGACGCCGCAGTTCCGCCGGTCCCGGCCACGTCTCACAGGCATACGACAAAACAGCTCATGTGGCCTCACGATGCGTCCCTTGAGACTCAGGGACATGGTGCTTTGCTCCCATACGTGTATCAAATTAACAAACGCGACCTGACCCAAAAGACCGGTGCATCAACTTCAGTTGTCATGCTACCGGAACTAATACAGATTCAAAGATATGTAAAACGGTCCACAACCTCGAATATCAAGTAGTGTGTTCAGTGACTTGTCCAGGAGCAGAATATCATACCTTGTGGATGAAAAATCCATATTAAAAGAGGGGATAACTTTGGACAGTTCATCCAGAAATATTCGCGCTCTTATCCTCTTCGAAGACGAGAACGACGTCGTCTGCATATTCCGATCGACAACCGTTTCCGACAGCCTATCTGAACAGGGCATGACCTTCCAGCGTTTGCCTCACTCCCTATTCGATCACAAGATCAAATAGGGATGGAAAAATTGGGCATTCCTGTTGAGTATCATTCTGAAGAGCCCCCATATACTCTCACGGTCCCGTAAGTCTGATATTACAAAGAACTCATCAAATTCGCAAGCTTCTAGGGCATTAACTGATGGGCGAGTGTGTCAATTAAAATGTTGGGCGGGATTCCACACGGACTCCGTTTCACCGCTCGCAGTCAGGTGCTGCTTCGGTCGAGAAGCCTATCCCATGCAAGAAAGGCCGAAATTCGGGAAGCTTGTCGATTCAGCATCAAGCCGAGATCTGGTTGGTCGAAAGTCCGGGCCCAACAGCCAATCATGTTCCAGTATTGGCCGAATACCGGTTGCCAATGGCGCATCCAGAAGGCATCGGAATCTCCAGAAAGTTGTCGCCGCTTGCATCATATATATGAAGCGCTGTAAAGTGTTTTCGACTTCATTTTGGGTGTTAACATACTTTGTGCACCTTTGGTGGTTGCTTTGACGTGGCTCAGACCTAGAACTAAGCTGAGGAAAATACCGTTACTAGATAAAACAAACCGGTCAACTGAGTCGAATGCACTTCGGAGACCCTGGGATACCGAAATTGTAGGTTTGTACGTGTGACTTTGTTTTAGTAGTTGACGAAGTGTGAAAATTCGGTTAACAACCCCTATCAGGCCGGACTCCAGGTTGCTGCTCTCAAACCAATTCTTCACGTGCCATCATAAAGCGAAGTACAAATGACGCCAAGAGTCTCGTTAAGATTGGGGTCGAAGTAATCCCTTGTATTTTCTGAACTCATTGCACACCCCTTTTCGAAAACGGGCATAATTACCGACTCTCCCCAGTTCGTCTGGGATAGTCTCCCAGATGCAGCAAAATAGATGGGACAAACGCTGACTGGGAACTTCCCCATCGTCGAACAATTCGAGTGTGAGGTCGTTCAAACCAAGAGCTCGGTGTAGTCATAGACCTTGAGGCCGTAGGGGATTCAAGGTTCCACTTCAATTCCAAGATCCAAATGAATAACAGCAGATGGCCACGAAAATTGTTGTTCAATTGTTGTTCCGCCGTAATAACGAACCAACGCTCGCCGAAGAGGAACCTGGACGCCTCTTCACACCACTTGGAGTGCTGCGATGACCTAGTTGCTATACTTTTGGCTGTTATAGTGTTCGAAGCTCCAGTCGGAGCAGCACACATGATGGTGATACTCCATCAGGCAAATTCGGGTTCGGCGTCGCTTAACATGTCAGCAGGAACCTTCGCAAAACTTCATCTATCGACCAACCCTTTTAGACTTCCGGGCCGCACGCTTTTGTGTACCAACGAAGCGTCCTGCCTGGTCGTTCGGTCGTTGGGTGAAACAGCGATGTGCAGACATGGGTTGTACTACAGCATACTAACGGCGATGACTCATCTCAGTTCTCGGTCGGAAGCTAGCGTTAAAAGAACTAACAAAGGTGTAAAACGTGTACCAAACGCCCAAAACCAGATCGAAAACACATGTATAGCCTTAGTGTATAAGGTGTAGATGACAATATCCTGGAAATCCTGACGCCTTCTGGACGCGCCATTGGCAACAGGGCATTCGGCGGACAGTGGATCATACTGAACTGTTGGGTTCGGCCAGTCAGAACTTGCCTTGACGGTGGGCCGGCAAGCGGGCCGTTCTTCGCGTGCGGGATGGGCTTTTTGGCCGTAGCAACGCCTAACTGCGAGAGGTAAAGCGGTTTTGGTGCGAGGTTTTGTCTGACAATTAGTCTCGACAAAACTACTCGAAATCCGTCGTCGGATACAATAGTTTCTGGATTCCCAAAACATCGGAATAGTCTAAGTTCCAGGAAGGTGGTGGCCCACGGGGAGAATTTCCGACTACTTGCTTTAAGAGTCAACTATGGTCTGCGCAGTCGATGTGATGTCGAGAACAGGGTTCAGTTGGTTGCGACCACATTCGTAGATATGTTTTCATAGGGGACCTGGCTGCTTCGCCACATTGCAGAAAGATCTGGAGACTCAATATGGCGACCCGGAGGCCAACAGATGCAATTTTGAGTAAGGATCATTGTCCTACTTGTTCCCGGAAGCCCTTTGTAAAACTACTTCAATACGGCTGACTGTAGCCCTTTTCGAATGACCGAGTGCTCTGAAAACAAGACATTCGTCGACCAGCATTAACGCGTCACCTCGACTGAAGTACGGTGGTACTTGATGAACTGCTGTAGCACAAGATCTCGGTGGGTAGTCTGGCGGACCATGCCAGCAGCCACTAGGAGGATGCAATTTGCTCGAGACACTGGGCGACTAGCCTACAGATCGAAGGCAATTGTTACAACTATGGTGTGTTTCGTTTCCGGCCTGCTTGAATCAATGAAACGCGATGGGGCGTCGACCTGCACGAGGATGGTGGACTGGTACGTGATCTTGAAATCATGAACCAGAAGCCGTGGCCAATCACTGGAGACGGTTGGTGGTATACATCAGAATCCCTTTCTATGAGTCAAAAAAGTAAGCCGTGGGTAATCAACCCAAGCTTACCTGCCGTCTCTCACGTTAAACGGTCATGTTACGGTTATAACTGAAAACATCTCAGCACGTAACGGGTACTTCTCGGTTGAACTCGGTGTGATGGATAAGTCGGCCTAGAACAAAGCACCAATCACAGTTGTGGTGAATTCAGTGAAGCTAGGGCACGGTGTAAGTTAATGTCTATCATGCATCCAAAAAATAAGATTTCATTATACACTCAAATATTATTTGTTCCGCTATACCAGTCTAAAAAAGCTCACAGAGCTTTACCACGTTGTACAAGTGCGTCAGTCATTGACGGATAGGATCATCAATACCAATGTAACGGCCACTATAGAAAGGGGTGAGAACTCTCACCAGTCATAAATGCTGCCTAGAACAGGGACTCCATAGATCCGGTGCGAAAAGCATGGGACACCATTCTCAATATTCACTACTCCGGCGAAGTACTTTCTTCGATGGGAGATATTGATATTCTTAAGGAGGAAGTGCTGCGAAAGTGGAGAGCGGTAAAGTGGAAACGTTAGGAGCAACACTCAAAACCCTGGTTCTTGTTGTGCACTGAATTTCTGCATTATTCTTGATGAATCAGTCGACGGATTTCTAGTTGTCACTCGATTTTTCATACTTTCAGCCCTACTCGCACTTTTCACTTTCCCAATCTTTGAAATCACTCGGTTTCTCAGCATGACCGAAATCCGTTTGCGGTGACATCTGAAAGCCAATCCGAGTGAGTTATTTTGTGAAAAAGGTGACGTATCGTTAAGCTCAAAGAAACAAACGATTGCTCTGGGACATCTTAGACGAAATCATAGACCGAATTTTCAGTTATATGCATAGCAATTTTATTACTTTCGGGTCTAGAAAGAACTGAGAATGCAGACGCATAATCTGAATGGACGCAGGTGCTATATAAACGTTTGTCGTCAGAAGTTGCGGCTCACAATCGGTCGTCGGCGTTTACGTAATCAATTCGCCCGTGCTTTTTTTCAACTGAGGGGCAAAGCTAGGCAATGTAGCGACGATCACTATGTCTAGATCCTGTACAAATAAGACGGCTCAGTGGTTAAGGCACGAAATTACTGGTCGGAATGCTCGTGGCTGAAGTCAATCTTTGTATACTGACTGCTTTGTCTAGGCTTGGGCAACTTGGCAGGACCATTGCCCCATGCTCCTTCGGGTGGAATGGCCGCTAGGCACCGAGAGATTACTAAAATTGAACGGCTCCCACTTAGTACTACAACCGAAAAATCGCCAATGAGCACGAAGCTTCGGTAAACATTCGCGGTCTTTGTATGCTGAGCTGACTCTCCGAGAGCCAAAGCGCCATACTCAAGCGGCCGATTTGTGACGACGAAGCAGAAACACTCCGAAGTGAATGTGTGTCATTCTTGTTAAAACATCCTGAATGAATTCGGGACTAAAACCGCTTGGTGTATAAACGCAAAGATGCATTGGACCGTGGACGATGTTGCGTTGATATCAAATTCCCGCATAAGCGCAAGGATTAACTAAGAAAAAACGGCTGTCTATAATCATGAGACCACGCGGAGATTCTTTGGTTTGGGATTCAGACCGCGACAGCCGCAATGAAGGCCCTGGAAGCTGAAGCACTTCGTCCAAACATTGTGTCGGACGCAGCACAAACCCATCCATGGTGTCTAGATACAAAAGACAGCTGCTTGCTTGTCAATCTGCCCCTGAGAGGTCTCGAGTTGGAAACGTGGAGGTGGACGAAAGTAAGAGAATGAACGTTTCTATAAATTCTTGACTGACAGCTAAGGTCTTCAGAAGTTTGTGAAAATGGACAATCAGGATATGAGGGGAACAGCAGCAGCACGGTTAACCTTTCCGGCTTTGCTATATGCGGCAATAACACTACCCGACTGATTGCACCACAAGTGACGAGTTTATATCTAGCACCATAGTTAGAAGGGGGCCGTAAGACATACTGATAGGACACATTATTTACAAAGAGAGGACGAGTCTTCAAACAAATGGAGCTCGGGAGCCTGGTAGTAATGTTACGGCAGTGAAGCATCAGTCTTGAACACTGATGTCTGTAGACTCGTGTTTCCATATCGAAATTTTTACATACTTTGGGATTCACCTCATCAGACTTGAACTGTCCTTGGCATGATTTCGAATAACACGTTCCTCTCTTTTCTCCCATATTCTCCTGTCACCCTTTCGCATTCATCGCTTGCATTCACTTTTTATGTTTGTGACCATGCTCTTCAAAAATAAATGATAATAGTAATATGGTGAGTTGAAGTATTACTACTAAAGCTCAATCTTCGGGGAAAACGTGGACGTACCCCCCAAATTAAGGTTATTAAGACTCTCAGAACCAGTCGTGTGGACTGTCAAATGCCACATGGACAACGTTCAAGAAAAAAGGAAAGAACAGAATGGTGAATAACTTACATGCAGGTCCAAATTCAGATATGTTTGAACTATCATCGGCAGTATTTGATAACGGTTCGACGAGTAAACTCTGTTTAACGTGAATGGCATCCGAAGTAGCAAGAGGTTCGACAAGGGAAGACAGATCCTCAGAAGCGGCAGCACCAATCGAGTCTGAGCTATCGTGATTGGGGGCTTCAGGGGGAAAAGCACGATACACTGTATTAAAATTAGCATGGGAAGCTGGAGAGGGCTGCATTCTTAACAAGGAAACGACGGCGGGGATTTCGCTAACTGATCCCAAACAGCCATAAATCATTAATCAAATGAAGTAGCAAGCAATGAACACATGCGTTTAGATTTACGATCAAGCAAACCAAAACGTTCTGCCGTGGTATCTGTTCAGCGCATATATACTATACTAAGTAAAAACCAGGACAGGTGGTCCCGATGGTTCAGCACTCCGGGCTGCCGGCAACATTGCATACAACGAAAATGGCCAAACATAGCGAAAAGAATACCCTCCATCATCTCGTATAGTTGAAGTTTCACTTTTCTACTTTAAAGAGTATCGTTTGAATCAGTCCAGCAACCTCCATCTTACTGTGCCTTTGTTTCCATTTTATGAGGGGTTCGCGTCAGACATCCTTCTTCAGTAGCCGCACACCACCTACCAAAACTGATTTTGTGTCCATCGGCTTAGCTAGGGCAACCACACACCCAAACTTCCTCTCTAATGAACACAAACCGGAAAGCTGTCTACATTCTCTCACCCACTACTCTGTCATAGAGCTCAGCTATAAGTAATTACGGTCTTCATAAAACCAACCAACGCAGGGCTGGGATACTGTCTAGTTGCCCAAACCTAGATAAAAGTCGAGATGCAGAGGTCGGGTTCGAAACACGGACTTTCAGGTCAGTAAATTCGCACTCTAACCATCTTTCAGATCACCGCTTCGCTCAGCTCCGCCTGTTTCACCCATCCCTCTAGCCCCTTGAATTTTCCAGGGTTATTCATCCATTGAGTGGTACGTTATGCGTCAACCAATTGCTTCTCATCCATAATGTCGATCCCGAAGGCGAGCTGAAGCCACGCGCCTTTCGAAACCCAGCAAACCTTAGTCCTCCGAATGGTTTGTTCACATAACAGCGCATTGGGGAAAGGTGCGAAAGTACTCTCCAAACGTCGTTCGGCTGTGGCATCCCCCGATACTCAACTTCCGTGAAACTCGAAGAACGACGCCTGAGATCCTTTCAGGCTGCCTAAGCCTCAAAACAGTCCAGACATTCAGCTACAAAAAATCGTTCAGCTGTAACACCATTCCGGAGTATAGCTGCCATTCCACCCGAAGGAAGCACGAGGGCTAAAATACTGTCAGGTTGCCCAAGCCTATATAGGGGAAGTCGAGGTGCAGAGATCGGGTGCGTACCACGGACCTTTCGATCAGTAAGTTCGCACTCTAACCACTTGAACCATCTGTCCCTATTCAGCTATTAACTACGCATCAGTGGTTCCAGATACTAGATTCGTTCATCGAGGGATAAAACAACGATGGATTGATTAGGTTTTGCAGACCCGATCACTTCTCTGAGGTTAGGCGGTTCTATTTGCTCGATATCGTCATCATTGACAGCATGACATCAGTGTTCAATACCGATGCTTCACTGCCTGATATGGCAGGACCTGAGAGCCACACACTGACGGCATCAACACTCATGCAGGAATGCCACTGGCTGCGTGACAGGCCCATGTCTATAATGGCTCATGACCATTCGTTTGCTTCCTTTATAAAGCCCACCTCCGGGAGAGGAGGGAGAGGTATCAACATGATTAAGTTGACTAGGAGAAGGTTCCATGCTTTGTTACCAAGCCATCGACTGAGCTCCGCTGAACCGTCTCCATCTGGTGAGAGGCAGGGCGAGATGCGCTATAAGAGACAAATGGTTTGACCAGCGTACCTTATGGTGTGACCAGCTGATCTGTTGAGGGAGTGGCCTTTCTTGAAAATCACCTGACATTACTGATCTGCTGTTCGCACCAGACCCACACGCCTTTGGGGCACCGAGGACCAAACGCAGGGTTCCCACATATATTCCGCACCTAGTAGACACGTAGCTGATGCATAAAATAGGGAAGATCGAGCCACAGTAGTGCATTCTACCTCTGAAAGCCAGACTGATTTCAGGTCGAAGCGACGAATGTTGGTGAGTGGAAAGGGCTGCTTAGATCTGCCCAATTCGAAAGTCGAGTTCGTCGACCCGTTTGAACTGCCCAGATGGCCGAAGTTATGCACATTGGTCGAATCAACTGTAAATATGTTTGACATTTATCACACCCAATCTACCAATAGTACAAATGTGAAAAATCAAGATCGCTCAGCTGTAACACACTTCTGGTGCCTAGCTGCCATGCTACCCGAAGGAAGCACGAGGTCTGGGATACCGCCGGGTTGCCCAAGCCAAGGCAGGAGAAGTCGAGAGGCAGAGGTCGGGTTTCGAACCACGGACCTTCCGGTCAGTAAATTCGCGCTCTAACCACATAGCCATCTCGCTGTGCGGCAGAATAATCTGGATTCTTCAAGGTGGTTTGTTCTGGTCCTATAAGAACAGTCTCATCAGCGCAAACCATGTCCGTGAACGAGCATCCCGAGAGCGGAAAGCTCATTACTTGAAAAGCTGACCAAGGTCACCCAGTTCCTCACCACGAACCTCACGCTCACAAGTTGCAAAGTCATGTTGCAGAAAGTATGCTTTTTGAACATGACTCTGATAACTCAAGAAGTGACACTCAAGGTTTTCGAACACTA